CCCCAAAACCCCAAAACCCCAAAACCCCACTAGATTAATAAAGGTTGAACTCAACCCATAATAATTAATCAGTTTAGAATTTTTTAAAGATGGGTGATATGTTCGAAGTTTTTGAAGAGCAAAAGCAACAAAGGCTACAAAAGTTTCTAGAGAATCAGCACCAGCTCCAAGATGACAAAGAGAGACATTACCTCTTCCTCTCCTACGACCATAATGAGGATGAGGAACATCTCTATGAGTTCTGGAGGGATATGGTAAATGACCTTCTTGGCAAGGTTTTCAAACGGACATATGCTTCTCCTGAAGAAATCTGCAAATGCTTCACCATCAAAGGACAGAAACCGTTTGGCCTCGTGAACATTCTTCGAGAAATGAGACTTAGGAAGGAACTTATAGACCCAGATGAACTTACTGATGAAGTTGGATGGGTCAGCAAGAAAATATCAGCAATTACGAGTTGGTTCGGGTCTTCTAATGAAGAGCTGGACACCTCCTCAAAACTAGTCTCAGTAACCTGGTTAGAGAACATCTGTAGCTCAATTACCACATGGGCTTTCAAACAAGAGACTCAGATTTTCAACAAGAAACAGATAGAAGCTGTTCTTTACAAAAATGGGAGGGATAAAGAGGATGTTAAACTGGTTCTTGCAAACCTCATAAAAACAGACAGAATGATCATTGAAGGAGATTATGTGAAGATAGGACATAGTGGCGAAATAGAAGAGTTTACCAACTACGAAAAAGCTACCTTCAAACTCAATTATGCTGCAGAGGAGCTACAAGAAAGGATAAATATCATCAAACCAAAGATCACTGAACTTAAGGAGAAAGCTAAAAATGCTCTAAAAGAGAAAAATCGAGATCTTGCAACTAACCTTGTCAGAGAGAAGAAAGCTCTTGAAAGAGTAGAAAACATTCTAGAAGGACAGAAGATGAAGATTGAGAAGCAGGTCTTAGATATCCAAATGACTTTATCAACTAAGGATACTATTGAGGCTTTAAAGCTTAGTAATAATCAACAATCCATCATTGACGATGACCTTGATGATGCTCAAGAATTAATGGATGCGATCACCGAAAAGAACTACAATCTTGATAAGATCAACAAAATGTTCACATCAGACGATGTAGAGGAAGAGATGGATGAAGACTTGCTCAAAGAACTTACTGAAGAGCCTGATGAAGCAGAAGAAGAGAAGCAACCTTCAAGTCCTCAAAAGGAGAGATATCCTGATGGCTTACTTGAAGAGTTTGAATCTCCCGATAAAGAATACGAAGAGGCTCAACTTGAATTTGCTTAATTAATTTCAATAATCGTCCCACTAACAGGGGTTTTGGGGTTTTGGGGTTTTGGGGTTTTGGGG